CGGGAGGTGCTAGTCCCTCAGGGGCCCCTGTATCGCGTGGCTGGCACAGCCATCTCCATCTCCTGCAATGTCACTGGCTACGAGGGCCCTGCCCAGCAGGACTTCGAGTGGTTCCTGTACAGGCCTGAGGCCCCAGAGGCTGCCCTGGGCATTGTCAGTACCAGGGATACCCGATTCTCCTATGCTGTCTTTGGGCCCCGAGTGGCAGCTGGTGAGGTACAGGTGCAGCGACTGCAGGGTGATGCCGTGGTGCTCAAGATTGCCCGCCTGCAGGCCCAGGATGCTGGCATTTACGAGTGCTACACACCCTCCACTGATGCCCACTACCTGGGCAGCTACAGCGGCAAAGTGGAACTGAGAGGTACTGGGCCCTGGGATGGGGTCAGGGCCGTGCCCTCCCAAAAGGCAGAAAGTCAGGGCCAGCAGGGACCTAAGAGGAACCTGAGGCCCAACGAGGTTAAGTGACTTGCATGAAGTCACCCAACAAGTTAGTGGCTGGCCTGAGACTCTAACCCAGAACTCTGGGTTAACTCTGTTCATTCCAGTCCACGGCTCTTATTCTGTCAAGCTACTTCCTGGGAGAGGAGAAGTGTCCCTAAGCTCTCCAGCCCCTTTCCATTCCCTGATGGGGTAGGGGAGCCTGACAGGGTGAACAGACTCCATTCCTGGAGATTCCAGGATCCAGATCTGGGGGAGTGGGGGTGGCGGGGGAAATAGAGGCAGGGTAGGAGGAGTGAGACCACATGACATTCTTGCTCTCAAGTTTGTCTTCTGAGAAGGAAGACAGAGCCACTCTTCTGAGTATTTCAAACAGGGGTCAGTCTCAAACATAAGGGTCAGTAGGCGATGGGCTGGTTCTATGAAATTCAACAAGTATTGAGTGCCTGTTGTGTGCCCAGCACTGTGCTTGGTACCATTGGGTTACAGAAGAAATAATACAGCATGAAGTCTCTGCCTTCTAGGAGCTCACAGTCTATTTAGGGAAATAGGTTGTAGGTAGGAAACAGTACCAAGGGTTAGTTACTGTACAGCTCCCAGCCCTCCCTCACTCCAGCTGTTCTCTCCAGTTCTTCCAGATATGCTGCAGGTGTCTGCTGCCCCCCCAGGGCCCCGGGGCCGTCAGGCCCCAGCTTCACCCCCTCGCCTGATGGTGCACGAGGGGCAGGAGCTGGCACTGGGCTGCCTGGCACGGACGAGCACGGAGAAGCACACACACCTGGCCGTGTCCTTTGGGCGAGCTGTGCCCGAGGCGCCAGTGGGGCGAGCAACTCTGCAGGAAGTGGTGGGACTCCGGCCCGACATGGCCGTGGAGGCCGGAGCTCCCTACGCTGAGCGGCTGGCGGCAGGGGAGCTGCGGCTGGGCAAGGAGGGGACTGAGCGCTACCGCATGGTGGTGGGGGGCGCCCAGGCGGACGACGCAGGCACCTACCACTGCACTGCCGCTGAGTGGATTCAGGATCCCGATGGCAGCTGGGCCCAGATTGCGGAGAAGAGGGCTGTCCTGGCCCATGTGGACGTGCAGACGCTGTGTGAGTGCCACGCGTCCCACGGTGCCAGCTGGGAGCCTTGGTATCTCAGTAGGCACCATGGGCACTAGATGGCCATCGTCTGACTCCAGGGAGCCCACCTTCCCTAGAGTGAAGTCCCATTAGTATCGCTTCCTGTCAGCACCTGTACCCATGACGGGCTTTCTCTGCTCAGAAATTGGGTGTGGGGATGGGAGGGCCATGGCTGAGGGGTGAGAGCCAGGCCCCTGGGTGGCAAAGACGGGTGGCCTCGAAGTTGCTGCTGTCAAGGAAGGACAGGTGCTCTGTGCCCTCTCCTGCCTCCCTGACACCCCTTCCCCTCCTGTGTTTCAGCCAGCCAGCTGGCAGTGACAGTGGGGCCTGGGGAACGTCGGATCGGCCCAGGGGAGCCCTTGGAGCTGCTGTGCAATGTGTCAGGGGCCCTGCCCCCAACGGGCCGTCATGCCGCCTACTCCGTGGGCTGGGAGATGGCACCTGCGGGGGCACCTGGGCCCGGCCGCCTGGTTGCCCAGCTGGACACGGAGGGTGTGGGCAGCCTGGGCCCTGGCTACGAGGGCCGGCACATTGCCATGGAGAAGGTGGCTTCCAGAACCTACCGGCTACGGCTGGAGGCTGCCCGGCCCGGGGATGCGGGTACCTACCGCTGCCTCGCCAAGGCCTATGTCCGAGGGTCTGGGGCCCGGCTTCGGGAAGCCGCCAGTGCCCGCTCCCGGCCCCTCCCCGTGCACGTGCGTGAGGAAGGTGAGAGGGGGCGGGTTGGCCCTGGACAGGATATGGGGTCTGCAGAACCTTTCCCTTCTGTTTCTGTGCCTCTCTCCCTCTCCATCGGCTGCCTCCGTGTCTGTCTCACACTCCTCTTCTAAGATTGTGGGAACACCCGGAGTTTCTGGGGTGTTGCTTGGACAGCAGTCCTAACCCCATGCCCCTTCCACCTTCTGACTTTTGTTCTGCAGGTGTGGTGCTGGAGGCTGTGGCCTGGCTAGCGGGAGGCGCAGTGTACCGCGGGGAGACGGCCTCCCTGCTCTGCAACATCTCCGTGCGGGGCGGCCCCCCCGGGCTGCGGCTGGCTGCCAGCTGGTGGGTGGAGAGGCTGGAGGACGGGGAGCTGAGCTCTGCCCCTGCCCAGCTGGTGGGTGGCGTGGGCCAGGACGGTGTGGCAGAGCTGGGGGTCCGGCCTGGAGGAGGCCCCGTCAGCGTGGAGCTGGTGGGGCCCCGAAGCCATCGGCTGAGACTGCACGGCTTGGGGCCCGAGGATGAAGGCGTGTACCACTGTGCCCCCAGCGCCTGGGTGCAGCACGCTGACTACAGCTGGTACCAGGCGGGCAGTGCCCGCTCAGGGCCTGTCACGGTCTACCCGTACACACATGGTGAGCGGTGCCCCCCCTTGCTCATGCGCCCCCAGCCCCCCTCACCCCCATGCTCTTGTTCTCCTTTTTGCATCTCATCCTCCTGCCAGTGGTCCCTCTGGTTCCTCTTTCTCTTCCTCTTTGCTTCACACGGAAAGTCTGAAAGTCCAGCTTTCAGCCCTTCAGTGCCCGGCTGCCCCGGTGTCCTGGTGGTAGGGGCTGGCTTGAGCGCAGAGCGGGCAGGGAGCAGGCGGGGGAAAGCTGTGTGGGAACGGGAGGAGGTGGTGTGGACAGCCTGACCGAGAAGGTACTGGCACGTGGGTGGAGGGCAGTGACACCCCGGACTGAACACAGCCATCCTCTCTCGCCCAGCCCTGGACACCCTGTTTGTGCCCCTGCTGGTGGGTGCAGGACTTGCCCTAGCCATCGGAGCCACCATCCTGGGCTCCATCACCTGCTGCTTCATGAAGAGGCTGCAGAAACGGTGATCCCTCACACCCCAGGTGAGGGGCAAGGACCCCCATCCCCATCCCTGTCTTCCCTAGTCCTGAGATGAGCAGCTCCCTCCCTGGTCCCAGCTGGAGAAGGAGAAGCCCCTCTCAGCTCTGCGGGCCAGGGCCAGGAGGAATTCACACTCTCCACGTGCATTCTCCCGTTCCTGCAGGTGTGACTATCTTCCAGCCCAGCCGCAAGCCCGCCTCTGGTGTCTGAATACCCTCTCCCTCTGCCTGCCCTTCCTTTAATTTATTTGACCTACTCCCACCCAGAGTGGGGGACACGGCCCCCATGCCCCACTCCTTCCTTCCCAAGCTCCTCCCTCTGGCCTTCTGTTCATGATCTCATACATAGCCCAAAGGGAGGCCGTTCCCTGTCCTAGAATTAGTTTTTCTAAAATGTGAATAAACTTGTTTTATAAAATCCAGGGCTGGCTGTGTCTTCCCCGCTATGAGGCTCTAAGAGGCAGGGGCGCGTGGCAGGTGGGCTACTGGGGGCTGACAGCCTCTTCTGGACGACCCGCACCTCTCTTCCCCCCCCAGAAACACCATCTGGCCTCCGTGGGCCGTGCCACCTACCCCGGGAGGGGAAACCTGGGTCCCATCTGCTGTCTGAGCTGTCAGTGCAGAGCCAGTTCCTGTTGGGATTCCTCCTTGGGGTGGGGAGAGAGAAAGGGGGATGAGTTCCAGTTGAGCACGGCCTCTGCCCCTAGACTTCTCCCAGGTTGCAGGGCAGGGTCTTCCAGGGCCCGGTGCCCTTTCTGAGTCCCCACGCTATTCTGCAGTCTCATTCTCTCCGTCAGGCTGATCTTGGACCTGACTCCTCCCCCCCAGGCCCTGGGGCCTCAGCCTTTCTCCCCCTGATCTCCATTATTCTGCCTGACAGCAGCAGAATGGAAGGCCCAGGACACAGCCACCTAGGCGACGGGGACGCCAGCAGTCAGAGGGGCCCCTGCACACACCCGCCCCACCACCTGCGCGCAAGCCCCCTTGCTTCACCCGTCCTCCCGTGCCCCCGGGGCTCCCTGCATTTGTCTCTGCCTAAGGATTCTCGGATCCTAGAATTCTTAGCTGCACTGCACCTCGAGAGGCACGCAGTCTACCTCTTTCAACTCAGTGATTTAAACATTTATTGAGCATTACCAGTTTACCAAGTGTTGTTTTTACAGATAGGGAAACTGAGGCCCAGAGAAGTGATGCAACTTGCCCAGAGTCATAGAACTAATCGTGACAGTGTCAGGCCTAGAACCCAGGTCCCCAGACTCCTTGCACTGCACACAGTGGGGCCCTGAGTGGTCGCTGAGTGGCAAGGAGAGGGGTGGCGGGGTCCCAATGCCTTCCATCCAGCCTCAGTTCCTCTACGGTGGGTTCACTTGCAATGGGTGAACTACCGCGTGAGTGAGTGTGGACACCCAGAGCCCGCTCCCTCCTGTCCGGACTCTAGATGTTTCAGCAAATTAAACCAGAACTGCTTCTTACCCCCATGCCCCAACATTTGTTCTTTGGGAACAGCCAGCACCAGTGTTCAGGGACCTCATCTTTGGGTGATAGTGACCCAAGTCACCCTGTGACCTGAGGCAAAGATGTTCTCTCCGAGCGGACCCAAGCTGGCGTGGGCTCCCTCCGCAGCCCCCTTTCCTGCTTCCAGGAGGCACAGCATCCCCCAGGACCCCAGCTTCCCAGCCTGGAATGCATCACACTGGGGTGCTTCCCCGCAAGGGGCTCAGACTTTTGTTAAAGAACAGGAACGGGGTGCAGCCCGGGCCAAGGGCTGGAGGTCACTGCTGGGCCCGTGTGGTGGGAGGGTGTGTCTGCCTGTGTGCACACATCTCTCCCAGAGGCAGGTCCCCCTACCTCTGCCCCTTCTCGACTCGCCATTGCTCCTCCTTCACAATCCTGGGGTGGGGGGTGTCCCTGGTGACCGCGATGACACCAGGAAGGGGGTACACGTGGCGTGGGAACACCTCTCCAGGGGCTCCTGCCCCAGCTGGGCAGACGGCAGGTCACAGTCACATCCAGACATTTGGACTCTCGCTTCTCTCTGTCACATCTCCCACATTTAATCCTGCCTCTTAAGTCCTACGTGGGATTCTCTCCTTTGCCACAGATGCCCTTCCTACTTCAGCTCAGCACCACCCTGGCAGCACTTCCCCTGAAGCCTTCCCGACTGCTCTGTCCCATCTATCTTGCCTACTCATCTTGCCCAAACACCATCTCTAGCTTGTCACAGCCCTATTTCCACTGACGGGCGAGTCCCTAGGCCCAGAGTCGGACTCTTCAGCCTTGGTTTCACGGTCTCCTTTCCCCTCACCGCAGTTCTCCATACCCATTATATTTCAGTCTCCTCCCCAAGGACCCTCAGCTACTCCTCAGCTTGATGCCCACCTCCTGACAGGACCCCCAAGTCTGCTTAGGGAAGGGCTTCTCGGAGCGTGGTCCCTGTTCCAGCAGCGTCAGCAGGACCTGGGACTTGTTAGAAATGCAAAGTTTTGGTCTCTACTGTAGACCCATTAAGTCAGAAACTCTGGGAGTGGGACTCAGCCATATGTGTTCCCAAGCCCTCCAGGGGACCCTGATGCCCACCCAAGTTCGTGACTGCTGGCTCAGGTCACTCTCCAGGCCTGACGCAATCCCTGACGCAATCCCTGACGCAATTCTGATTACCAAGCCCTTCCACCCCGTGCTTGGAGAGATCGCCCAGGTTCTCAGTTTGAAACAGCTGCCACAGGCATATTTCTCTGTTTTCCCCACGTGTACTGTATTCCCAGAATAGGAATCGGGTCTCTGACTGTCCTCCCCACACATGCCCGGGTCAGTGCTCTGGACCCAACGGGCACCCAGTGAACCACGTGAATGACTCCCTCTCACTGTGCCCTAAGACCGATTCTGCTTTCCTGAGGACCCCGTGTCCCAGCTCTAGTGAACTCATGTTTCTCCATCTCTCCCCGGCCCTTCTTCCTCCTCAGAACCTCTCTATCCCCTCCCACCCCTGCAGTGGTACTCACGAGACCTCACTTCACTGTCAGAAAATAGCCATCCCTTGTTCCCCTTTCCTAGGCCCTGCCCCAGGGCCCCAGCTCTGGCATCTCCCCCATCGCCGGTTTCCTTGCACACATGGACAAGGTCATTCACACCCAGCTGAGCCGCCCTGCAGCCTTTCGCCCTCCCTCTCAGCCTGTCACAGTGGCAGGGGTGGAGCTGGGAGGGCACCCTCCTCATCTCTGCCCGCCTCCGTCCAGCTTTCTCACCTCTGGGTCAGCTTGGGCTACTGTGTCCAGTGAGACAGGTGTGCCAGACTCAGGGAAGCTGGCTGAGGAGGTGAGTGGGGCCTAAACTCCAGCCCACACTCTGCTCCCCAAGCCATGCACCCTAGTTTGGGGTAGTGTCAGTCTGGAGGGAAAAGGCGCCTTTTTAGAATTTGCACCAAGATGCTCTATGAGTCAGCGGCAGCCCTGAGCACACCACCTGTCTGTTGGTCTGTTGGCCCATTCACCTATCCACTGGCTGGCTGTCTCTCTCTGCTCCCACCTTCTCATCCAACCCGCATAGGTCCATCCTCTGTCCATCCATCCACGCGTGAACAGAAGTGAAGGTCAAACACAGACAGGCTGGCGAGTTTACCCATTCCCCACCCTCCGTCCTCCTGAAATCAGGATCTCTCCCATCCATGTTGGATCCCAGACCTGAGATTCTGAGGAGGCTCCCCAGCTTTAGTGCATTCCCAGGGACCTTGCCTGCGGCCTCCTCCACCTTCCATAACCAGCTCCCCAGGTACCTGTGTCTGGCCCTGCCACAGGGATCTGGAGGAAACTGGTCACACCTTGGACTCACTCTCCGGGGGCGGCAGGCAGCCGTTCTGCTCTTTGTCAGCCCCAGCCTCTTCGTCCGCCCCCTCCCCCAGCCCCTCCTCCTCCACCTTCTCATCCAGCCGGCTGGGGATGGACCAGTAGAGATGGGCGTCAAGGCGGGCTGCGGCCTCGGCCAGCTCCCGGGCGCTGCATGAGGGTGTGGGCACCTCAAAGGTCTCGTGGAAGCTGGCATAGTCCACCTCGTAGAAGCCATCCTCCAGGGTCAGCACTGACGTGAAGCGGTGACCCCACAGCACCTCATCCACCAGGTAGGAGCTCCGAGCTTGGCATGTCATTCCTGGGGGTAAGGGCATGGGTCAAGGGGGATCCCGGCCCCAGCCTTCCCTCCCCTGCCTCATTCCACAACCCTATTCCTAGAACCCTTCCCTGGAGCCCTCCTCAAGGACCCCCACCCACCCACTTTGGTCCAGCCCGCTTTCTCTTCCTTCCCAACTCTTGTACTTGTCCAGTTCCCCCTCCTCCTCTCCATTTGCCCCAACTCCTCTTAACCTCCAGCCCACATTCTCCCCTCCTCTCCACTGGAGATGCCAGTCAGAGAAGTTTAACCTTGAAACTGACCTTGGGGATCATCTAGCCCAATTTTCCTCTCCATACAGGGCTCCCCACTGGAGCATTCCCAATAATGGGCAACTAGCTTGCTCTTGATTACATCTCAGGATTGAGAGCTCACCACCTCACAAGGAGCCCACTCCTTTGTGTGACGGCTCTAATATTTGGGTTGTTCTTTATACAGAGCTAAAATCTGCCACCCTTATTTTCACTCTCCTGCTGTATGACACCCCTTCAAGTATCTGAAAGCAGGAGTCTCAGTTTTCATCATGTCTTCTCTCCTTCAGGCTGAACATCCCTGTCTCCCTCCACCATTCCTGATGTGACCTGGCTTCCAAAAATTTTACTTTCTTGACTGCAAACCAGAGTGGCCAAGGAGGATCCTTTAAGCACTCTGAGTGCGATAAATACTCCTGATCCATGCATAAGAGAGGGCTCGCCACCTCTCTCTTCTGGCCATGATGCTTTAGCTAACAGGGCCCAAGATTACATTACATAAACATTTTTGGAAGCTGTATCACATTGCCTGTGGCCAACTAAAACCCCCGATTCTTTTTTCACCAGAGCTCTTCCATGCTGTGCTTACATAAGTGATTTTTTAAAGCCTAAATGTAGAACTTTATATTTATTCGTTTTAAATGTCATCTTGTTGGATTTTGGCTCATTTTACTTGCTTTTCAGAAGCATTTTGGATACTGACTCTCTCACCCAAAATATTACCATCCTTTCCAGCTTTGTCTCTCTAGAAAAATCCAACAAGCTCCCCTCCCTATCTCCTCCACCCTCCCCTCCCCATATCTCCTCCACCTCACCCTCCCCTGCCCTCCTTGCTGTGGGCCTGTGTCCTGTTTTCTCTGTGGGGTGGGCACACCCACCGGGGCAAGTGATTTTCCTTCTACCCTGAGATCTCTCATGTTCCCCTCAGCTCATATGCACCTCCGAACAAGGGAGAACAGAAGAGTGAACATTAGCTAAGCAGAGACTGGCTCTCAACATTGAAAGCCCTGCCCTGAGCAAACTTGGGGACATTCCTTTGTTCCTTTGGTGAAGACTGGCGTAGGAAATGTCCGGTAGAGGAGGGGAAGAAGAGGCAAAAGGGACACTGGGGAGAGGGGCTGCAAGGAAGAAAGGGAAGGGCTGGAGGTACAAAGGGAGAAGAGGGTTGGGCAGGGACTTCTCAGGTACCAGCAAAAATGTGCCAGCCAGTGAGATGAGAGGAAAGGAAGTAGGGTGCATGGGGGAGGGGGAAGGAGTTAGGGGAGTATTGGGGTGGGGAGAAGGAGTGGGGAACACTGAGGCAGAGAGCGGTGAAGTAGAGGCTCAGCATGAAGGGCCAGGAAAAGGGTTTGATGACACCAGTCTGGGAGAAGCCAGCAGAGGGCAACACTGGCAACAGTGGCAGGAACTGCAGGGCCCCCTGCTGGGCCTTTGGCTAGCCCACTTGCAGTTTTCTTCTCCACTTCTGGATCTCAAGTCCCAAAGGACTCATTTGCTGCCCCTGCACTGGTCTTATCCTACCTGCTCCCAAACCTTTCACTGTATAAGCCTGAGTTGGAGGTTCTGACATCACAGGTACATTGCTAGTTCCTTCTGGAAAGGGGCTTGAAATGTGCAGATCATCTATCCTTTGTCAGTGGAAACCGAATCTTCTGATGGATGGGGAAACTGAGGCAGAAGTGAGCCCAGCTATCAACCTCTCCCTAAGGTCCAGGCTAGGAATAACTCAGGCCATGGAAAACCTGCACCATCACATTCCATGGGCCTGGACCCCTCAGTACTGAGAAAAACCCGGAACCTAACCCTTCCTTCCTACTCTGCACCCTAAATGCTGAAGCCAGACTGCCTGGGTCCAATCCAGACGTGGCCACTTATTTAGCCTATGACTGTGGACAACTTAACCTTTCACTGGGGCAATTTCCTCCCTGAAAAATGAGCACAGTAACAAGAAATTACCTTCACGGGGCTCCGATTAAATAAACCAGGAGGTGTAAAGTGCTTCGGAACCGTGCAGGGCACAGAGTAAGCACTGGGTGTTGTCTATTATCATTACTGTCTCCTATTCCCAGTGACACAGACCTCTCAGCCCAGGGCCCCAGGCCAGGGCCACTTCGGAGGATTCCTCCCAGCTTTCTCTCGCCTCTCTGGGTGGGTGGGTGGGGGGGTCACTCTTTTCATACACCCCTCCCAAACCATCTCATCTCAGCTCTCATCCTCCACTAGCCTCTCCATCCACCCCCCACCCACCCCCACCCCGCTTCCTCCGCCCTGGCCCCTCTGGGTCCAATTTCCCGCCCACCCGCTCCCCTCCTCCCCCTGCACTTCCTCCTCTCCCTTCTCCTTCAGCCCGCCCGCACCCGTGGCTTCCACCATGCCCTCGAGGATGACGACGATCTCGAAGTCGTCCCTCTCGAGGGCGCGGCGCGACGCCTCCCAGAAGGGGCTGGCGGCGTCGATCTCGTGGCTGATGACGAGCGGTGAGACGAGGAAGAGGCGGTCGTCGCCCGTGTCAAAGCCCACGCTGAGGTCGGTCTGGTGCAGCGGGATGAACTCGCCCTCGAGCGTCTGGCGCGAGCGGATGAGCTTGGCGCGGATGGAAGCCTCGACTATGTGCGACGAGCGCAGGTCACCCACGCGGAACATGAGGCAGAGGCGCCCGTCGCGCAGCGACACCACGGCGTGCGAGGAGAAGACGAGCGTGGCGGCGCGCTTGTTGGGCTGCGAGATCTTGACGAACATGCAGCCCACCATGAAGGCGTTCACCATGGAGCCCAGGATGGCCTGCAGCAGCAGCAGCACGATGCCCTCGGGGCACTGGTCGGTGATGACGCGGTGCCCGTAGCCGATGGTGGTCTCCGTCTCGATGGAGAAGAGGAAGGCGGCCACGAAGCCGTTGAGGTTGTTGACGCACGGCGTCCACGCCGTGTCCTCCAGGTGCTCCAGGTCGCCGCGGCCGTAGGCGATCAGCCACCAGATGGCGCCGAAGAAGAGCCAGGTGAGCGCGTAGGCCAGCACGAAGAAGAGCAGGCTCAGGCGCCACTGCAGGTCCACGAGCGTGGTGAACAGGTCGGTCAGGTAGCGGTACGTCTCGCGCACGTTGCCCTGCTGCACGTTGCAGCGGCCGTCCTTCTCCACGTAGCGCTGGCGGCCGCGGCGCCGCGGCTGCTCCTCAGGCCCCGGCGAGAAGGCGGCGTTCTCCTGCGCCATGGCCGTGGCCGCGGCGGGGAGGTCACGGCCCGGGCGGCGGCGCGGGGCCTGGAGGGGCTGAGAGGTGGGCCAGATTAGCCGAGCCGCGGGAGAGGCCGAGACGTCCGGGCCTGCGCCCAGGGGCCGGGTGGCCCAGAGCGAGTCCCTTGCTGTGTCAGCCTCAGCTTTCCGCATCGGTAGAATGGGAACTATACACACAACCCTAGCCGTCCCCACCCCCATCTCACAACACCGTGAAGATCAAATGGGATAGTGTGTATGAACTGGATCGCACTCTGCACGACTGAGTATTTTCAGGGAAATGGGGTACCAGAGGTCTTGGTCCCACTGCTCTAACTGGGCTGTGCAGCACCTCACGGCCACCCCCAGGCGAGAGGCCCAGGCAAGGAGGGAGTTTCCTGAAACGCTTAGACTGTGGGTTCCTTCGAGGCAGGTGCTTAATCTTCCTCTCCTGTGCAGAGCCCTCCCTGCCCGAAGGCCACCCCCGCCCCACTCCGCCCTGGCTGATATCAGGCAGTCCCCTAATCCCTGTCTCCGCAATTCAACCTGCTGTCTAACCAGGCTCTTTGGAAGTTCACCTGGAGACTGACACAGAAAGTCTTTCCCATTCCTCCCTCCTTGGACCTCGCTTACTCTACCCCCTCCCACATCTTCTTCCTCTCAACAAGCTTACGAAGGAGAAATGGAAGTGGTGGAAAACGAGTGAAAAATCTCCAGTGGGCAAGGGTTGAACATTCCCACCTTGGGAAATTCCTACTGGAAATCCTCCCTGAGGACTGACCATGATCAATGCGGCTGTAGCGTCAGCCCCGTTTCCCCTAGGTTATTTCCACAGTGGAGACAGCCTGCAAATGGGCAGGAGGACGGGAGAATATGAGATCAACACGGACAGCCGGGGTAAAGGAAGCACAAAGTTCAAGGTAGGCTTGCAGCCCTCTACTATCCTATTCTTCATGAGCCATTAAATCAGATAAGTGATTTAAGCACACACCTTTACCTCCTTCCTCCCTTCAGTTCGCCCCTCCCTCCCCAGCCTCCCACCTCCCTTGACTATCCTTAAACGGCCCCCCTCCATCTGCCGCAAAGCTCACATTCCCAGGGAAGCCTACCTGATTTTGCTTTAAGTTCTTCCCCGTGGGGAGCTCTCTGAGCTGCAGGCTGCCCTGAGAGAGAGAGACCCAGAGCCCTTCCCTAGGCACCCAGGGGCCCCTAGAAGGTATGGCTCGTATGAGGAAAGGTTAAGAATTCAGGACTTTTCAACTTTCCCTTCTTCTTGGGAATCATCCTCTTTCCCCACTCCAAGGAAACCTGGGCTGGCTCGGGTGGGGTGATGGAGGGGAAGAGTGTGACATAAGGACCACAGATGGCCTGGACGTTTGACCAGGTCCTGGGGAGAAACTGCCTGGGTATGGAACTCCACACCCAGCACTCTCGAATTTAAATTCTGGAGTGAGGTGTTCTGCAGCCAGACCTTTGGAGGGTGTGTGTGTGTGTGTGTGTGTGTGTGTGTGTGTGTGTGTGTGTGTGGTGTGGTGGGGTAGAGGGCAGGAGGAAAAAACACAACGAGATGGCTTGGAGCTTAGGGGCATCCCTTACATTTCCAGGAGGAATCAGGGGACACAGGATCCAGGAACCCCAATGCAATGGCAGATTAGGGTCTTCCCCTCCCCCAACCATGAGCTTGCTTTTTCTCTTCCTGCAGCCCACGATGTCCTCGACTGGCTTAGAGATCACAGGTCATTCAGAGAAGTACCTGGGCCCACTTATTCCAGCTTCTGCCAAGGTGGGCTTTCAGATGTTCTCTCAGGGTCTTAGGTAATCTGACCCCCAATCTGCCTGCTGAGGCAGATTTCTCTGCCCAGGTGTGGGGAAGAAACGCCAGAGTCTGATGGCCCCCAGAACTCTCTCACCCGCCATTGCCCTGGGAATCTAGGTGAGCCTCACTTTGATTGTGTTTTATCTCCTGTCTTCGGGCTGCACTTTCTCCATGGGTAAGGAAAGGTGTGAAATTGTTGCCTCTATCTCAAGAGCAAAGACTGGATTTCTACACCTTCCCTCCAAAGAGTCCTGTTCCTCCAGCCTGTTCCTCCTTATTTCATGTGCATGCTGTCCCCCTTTCCAGAAGACCCCAGTGCTGCATTTTCCTGGATCTCCCTTTCTCTGGCTAGAGAGTGCTGGCCAGCAAGGGGGCTTATTTTTTGGAAGGGGATCGGGCGAAAACTCCCTCAGGAACCAGCTCTTCCCAAACCCCCACTTGCCTTGGAAATAGGGGCCCAAACCCAAGTCCCCTGGAACTCAACTCACAGCGTGTGGAGAGGAGAGTAGCCGGCAGCAGAGACCCCTGGGGGTGTAGCGTCCATGCCCCTGACACCGCCTCCCCCCCCACCCCAGCCCCCTTGGAGGGTGGGAGCCGCAGGCACCGCTGTTTCTCCTAAATGTAGCGGCAGCTCTGACTAGGACTTGCTATCTGTGTCATCCGCACTTCCCAGGCTCCCCTGCTCCTCTCCTGTTTCCACAGCAACCAGTCTGGCGACAGCTCTAGAGCATCCCCCTCCCCTCCCCAGTCCTGGGTACCACTAGAGGCTGATCCATACGCCATAGCTATTTTTAGCCAAAGTTCCTCCTCCTGGACAACTCAGAGCTCGCCTCTTCACCCCCTGAGGAAAACAAAACAAAAAAGAAAAAAAGAAAAGCTAGCATGCTGACTCTTTCCTAAGAAGCTCCTTGCTCTGGGAAAATACAGGCCTTGATGTGTTTGGGAATAAGGCATTTGGTTTCCTAGGGATTCACCTCCAGCCGGGCTTCTGGGTGCATGTGCTGCTCTCCGGTCAGGCCTGCGATCACAGTCTCTGTTTTTGGAGAGGTCACCCTGATCCAGAAGAAGGTAGCTAGAGGGAAAAGAGGTCCACCCAAGGAAGGGAGGTAGGGTCAGAGGTTCTAATCTTTGTCACTGATTTGCGATGTGACCCAGAGGAATCACTTCCCTTCCCTCAGCCACAGTCGCTCCATCTTTCACAAGACGTGGACATGTGCAAATAGCCCTTTCTGCCTACTTTACAGGGTGTGCAGATCGAACGAGGGAATGTAAATAGAAGGGCTTTGAGGAGTAGTTTCTTAACAGCAAAAGGTCTAGAAACAACCCAAATGTCCAACAGAGAGAAAAGGCTAGTTGAGGGCTTACTAACTCTTCATTCAACAAATTTTTGTGGAGCCCACGTGCCAGGTAATGTGCTAGGTGGGGCTGGTTACAGAAGTGGATAAGTCCCTGGCCACCAGGAGCTCATGGTCCAGTGGGGGAGAAAGATCCGTAAGCTCAGAATACTAACACTACTACTGAGAATTGACTGAGCATCAGCTCTGAGCTAGACGCGCGCCGTATTCAACAACCCTGGGCGATACCCTATGAGACAGGTGTTATTTTCTCTATTTATAGATGAGAAAATTAAAACTGAAAAAGGTGAAGTGATTTACCTAATGTCACAGAGTTGGATATCGGCAGAGAAGTAGTCACACTCATACACCTGTGTCACACCCCCATGCTCCCTTGGTGATGCAATATTTGTGGCAAGTTCCTCCCTTGGTGATGCAATATTTGTGGCAAAGCAATATAATCAGTTACTATGTTCATATATGTAAATGTGCATGCAGGTACACTGTTACATAAAAACCAGGACATGAAAGTATTCTTTTTTATTTTTGCCCGCAGCACCACACGTCTTGCAGGATCCCAGTTCCCCAACCAGCGATCAAACCTGTGCCCCCTGCAGTGGAAGCGTGGAGTCCTAACCACTGGACCGCCAGGGAATTCCCCAAAGTATTCTTATAAACTGATCATAACTGTATAGAAATAGCTTTAGGAATACTGATAAAAATCAGGAAAAAAAATTGGAGAAATGGAAATACTTCAATGTTTATTTTCCCCAGGGAAATAATTAAAAGCAGAGAGTGGTAGACGAATGCCAGGTGTTGCTAGTATCAGCATTATTATACCCAAGATATTGATCAGTTCTCCAGCTGCCTTAAAGTTGGAACAGGATGATGTGAGCTAGAGAAGCAGGACGATATAGAAATGGATACCAGCAGGTGAGAAGTTCCTGGAATGGCCTGGCAAGGTGGAAAAGGTGGTGCTGAGTAATATAGTCTCAGGAGGCAGTGTCCTGGGTTCAACCCCCAACTCTGTCCCCTATTAGCTGGGTGACTTTGAGCAAGTTACTTAACCTCTCTGACCAGTTTCTTCATCTAAGAACTGAGAACAGCTGTATTATCCATCTCTGGGGGATTGTCATGAGGATTATATGAGGCAGTGGTGGCACATTGTAAGTACTCAGTAGATGCTAGCTATGGTCTTCCTTCTTCTCCTCATCATCGTCTTCATCCCAGGCATCTCCTGAAATCTCCACCTACCCTGTGCCACCTTCCTCTGTGCTGGTGCCACCCAGTGAGACCTGCAGGGGGCACTCCTGGTACACCGCCCTCCTCTCCCAGCCCTCTCGCCTGTGTTTCTTGTTCCAAGTGGAAATATCGAGTTTTCAGCCCGAGATTGGCATCAGGAGGGCTGTTAAAGCCCCAGTCAACATCCCCGTCTCCTGGGCCTGGCCCTGTCACCTGAGCCTTGGGACTGCTAGCCTGCCCTTCTCTGTCCTGCCAAGCAGCTGCTCACGTTGGTTCCACTGTGCCAGGAGCTCAGAGAGAAGAAACCAAACTCCTGGGCAAGAACGTATTTGCATAGAACTGGCCCCATTTCCTGGAGGGGGAAATCACAGGGCTGGCAGCGTCCTCCGGAAGATGTATCAGCCAGCCCCCTGCCTCAGTGCAGGCTGCCTCGAGCGCGGCCTTCCTGACAAAGGAGAACACCACCCCCTCCCCTGCTTTATGGATCCGGCAGGTCCTGGACTTTGCCTGGTATCTAACCTCAATTCTTTGTTTATCATTGAACTTGAACAGAGTGAGGGAAAAAAATGTTTTCTGAGGTACCAGGATACAGAAAAATAAGCAGGATCCTAGCTTTCAGGTATTATGAAGTAAAGAAAGCAACTTTACGAGGAGTCAATGAAATATGTCA